TAAATATATAAAATTATGATAAAAATTGTATATAATTATATAATTTAATTTTTATTTATCATAATTATTTATGAATTAAATTTTAATATTTTTAAAATAAAATATCAATAAATAAAAATGATATTGTGCTAATTATTTATTATAAATGTAAAAAATAATTTATATGTTTAAAGTATTTATTTATAAAAAATTTTAATATAATTTATATATTCAAACATAAAATTTATTTGTATATATGTAATTTATTATAAATTTTAATTATATAATAAATATTTAATATATGCATTGCACATGCTAAAATATTAGTAAAGAATATATATCCAAACATTTATATAATAAAAAAAACACAAATATAGAATTTAAAAGTCAACAAAAATTTAATACAAAAAATAACATAAAATGTTAGAGAGAAAAAAATCTACAACCAAATACTACTACGGAAAAAAAAAAAAGGACATGTGTTATTCATGTTGAGCTACTTAACGATGTAATGTTCATGAAATATATGAAAATAAGGATGTAATATACATATTATTTTTTATCCAATCAAAAGGTCTTCAAGACATATAGAACATTCTAAGGATTGATATGTTTTTTCTTTAATTATGACCATTTCAAGATTTTTTATAAAGTGTTGATTTGAAGACTTTGTTCTAAAAACCTCATCATTGTTCTCCATGTCATCATAGTTGTAACCCAAGTTCATGAAATAGAACATATAATCATTTTCAATTGATTTTAGAACTCCACCATTGTTTTCTATATTATTGTGACTCATGTTCATAAAATCAAAGATATAAGCATCGTCTTGAATTGATCTAAAAACTCTAACATTATTTTTCATATTGTTGTGACCTAAGTTTATACAATCAAAGATGTAAGCATTATCTTGAATTGATATGAAAATTCCACCATTATTTTTTCATATTATCGTGACCTAAGTTAATACAATCAAAGATGTAAGTATCATCTTGAATTGATCTGAAAAACTCCACCAGTGTTTTCCATATTGTTGTGAACCAAGTCCATGGAATCAAAGATATAAGCATCATCTTGATTTGATCTAAAAATTCCACCATTGTTTTTCATATTGTTGTGACCTAAGTTCATGGAAACAAAGATGTAAGCATCATCTTGAATCAATCTAAAAACTCCATCATTGTTTCATATTGTTGTGACTAAAGTTCATGGAATCAAAGATGTAAGCATCATCTTGAATCAATCTAAAAACTCCACCATTGTTTCCATATTGTTGTGATCCAAGTTCATGGAATCAAAGATGTAAGCTTCATCTTGAATTGATTTGAAAACTCCATCATTGTTTTTCATGTTATTATTGTGACTCAAGTATGTGGAATCAAATATATAAATATCATCTTCAATTAATTTGAAAACTCCCCAATTATTCTCCATATTGTTATAATCCAAGTTGATAGAATCAAAGATGCAAACATCATCTTTAATTGTTATGAAAATTTCACCATTATTTTCTATGTTATTGTGACCCATGTTAATGTCATCAAAAATATAAACACCATCTTCGATTAATCTTAAAATTTCACCATTGTTCTCCATGTTAATATGATTGAATAATAAGGAATCATAAATCCTATTATCCACAAATGAAAAGTGCACCATCACTTTAACAACACATATACACAATCGGAGCCAAGTTAGAAATTGCAATAATATTAACAGAACATTACTCATGAAACAAAATCATGTGATAATGGATTAGAAAGACACAATGAAACATAAACATAAGACTATACAATTATTTGATTGGAGAGTTATTTGATTTGATTTGTCGCAGCTTCTTCTTCCAACAGAGAGAATCTTGATTCAACACTCGAATGAAGGTTATGAACTTGTGATACTGCTTAAAGCTTGACTATGACTCGGAAATAACAATATGTATAACCATAGTTTTAAAAACTAGAACGGTCATTAAATCGGTTAGGTATTGGGTTAGTAGGTAAAAGGTTGAATCAGTGGGTCACTAATTGAATCGCATAATCCGGTTTTTATTAATTTTTTTAAAAAGATATTCATGTTAAATATATTTTATACTTATAAATTTTAATAAATACATATCTTATCTTAAATTTCAATTTTTAACTTATTTAAAATTATTTTTAATTTTATTTTGTATAAAGAAATATATATAAAAAAATATAAAAAAATATTAATTTTTTTTTTGTTGAACCGGTTTGATCCACCGGTTCGACCCACCGATTCACTAGTTGAACCGAAAAACTGATCGGTTCACTTCGATTTGAAATGAGTCAAATGCATAACCGATCCAAATCAAGATTCAGACCTGCTAGACCACTAGTTCCCGGTTCAAACGGTCTGACTAGCCGATCCGATTCAATTTTTAAAATATTGTGTATAACTACGTAAGTCAAAATCGATTACATATCTTATCTTTACTATGAATAAAAAATAAAATAAAAGCAGGTAGTGGCGAAACTTAGATGAAAAATTTGAGAGTGCCAAATTAATTTTTTTATATATAAATTAAATTTTTTAATTAATTATAAAAATAATAGAATTTTTTATTTCTTTTACTTAAATTTTTTTGTTTT